CATTACATTACATCACATCACATTACATTACATTACATTACATACAGACATACATACATCCAAGAACATACATACATACATTCATTCATTCATGCATACCTACACCCATAATTACATACATACATACATACATACGTACATGCATACATACATGCATGCATGCACGCATGCATACGCGCATGCATGCGTTCTTGCATGCATGCATACTTATTGTACGTGTGTGTGTGTGTTTATGTAACGATAAACAAATACAAAGTTCAACAATTATGTATATATATATATGTATGTATGTATGAATGTATGTATGTATATACGTACACACACGTGTATATATATATATATAATATCTGGTATATGTATATGTATATATATAGATATGTCTGCATATCTGAGTGAATAAGTTTCATTTCCATAGTAGCCACCCCAAACCCTACTGTGATTGGGTCAGGGGTTTGGGGCCTGCCTGACATCCCTAACCTTAGGAACATTTAATGACTGAACTATACAGTAGAACGACATCGAATGTGATATAGACAACACGTTGCTTCGTGCAAGTTTCAGCCGACATAAATGGTTATGACGATCGGGATGATCATGATAAAGACGATATTGACAATATGTACTTATTTCATGGTGTTGACACTGGCTATGTCGATGGCGACGTTGATGTCATACTCATTGCTTAGCGCAATCCTTCGCCCATAAATGTTTGCCGAAGAAATCGGTGCTGCTAAACCGTAAGACCTAAACCCTAAACCTTAACCTTACATGCTCGCTGAGGAATTCAGGGGTGCGGTGCTGCTCATCACCCACAATCGGGATTTGCTGCGGAAGGTGGCGAAGGAGTGCGTGTCGGGGCATTGGGTTCCGAGTAGTACAGGGGTCCGACGAATTGGCAACGGTGTTCCCTGAGAATCCCTAACTATAGATGTACATGTTTGTGTAGTCATTCCGGCATTCCATGCGGACACAGAATTAGTCTTCGAACGTTATCCCTGCATATCATCCCGACACAGCTCTGAGGATAGTCTGAGCCCAAGCTGCGTAAGAGGCGGCAGCCGTACGCGGCGAGGCCTCCATGCCGTGATGGGCTCAGACGCAAGTCGTCTTCTGCCAAGGCTTTCGCAAGCGGCCTTGAAAGATGATTTCTTTCAGCATGGGAAAGGTCGGAATCGTCCATAGGGGCGGGTGCGGACAGAGCAGAACTCTGCTTAGCATCCGCGATCTGGTCGGCCTGTGAGTTCGCTTCCCCGACCGACTACCCAGGCTCGTCTTTCCAAGAGGTTGGATGCAAAGATCCCAGCTTCAATTGGGCCCGAAACCCTAAACCCGATGGGAGATTCAGCTCTCCGGGCATGCTTCAGGCAGTCTGCGTCATGCTCCCTCAGACATGATCAATCTCGGAGTCACTGCGAAGGAGGTATAGAGTTTCACATAGAGGCCGTATTGATTACTTATACTATTTCGGGAGTACCTTAATTTATATAGTATAATGGGCCCCAAAACCCTATTCTGATTCTAACTAGTAAATTAAGGCCCCTTTATTGGAGCCTAATCTCCCCAAGCCCTGGGCTAGTGATTCCGGGCGTACGTATACTGCAGGTTATTCAGGCGAGTGAAATTAAAGCAGGTCCGTTCTCTGATACGTATATAGTAAAAAACCAAGAAGTTGGAAACCGGATTAAGGACAAATAGTGCTGGGATTCCTTACGCAGTATTCTTCTGGATTGAGGCTATTGGGGTTCCAACTTTAGGCATCTACTACAGCCTTCTTCCCGAGGAACTCGAATGGTTTGGGTGCATCTTAATCTTTTGAATAAGTCCTCATGCTTTCAAGCAGAAGCCAGAAAGTTGGAACATGATTATCCTCATGCCCTTAAGATAAAGCATAAGGGATCCTACCATGTTCCTGCTTTCTGGGATTCCCTTTAGGATTTGTAACACGCGTTGTAGAAGCCCGAGGCAAACAGACCCTAAACCCTAAACCCTAAACCCTAAACACTAACGCACCGGGTTTGGCTCAGGTTCCGGGGCTTTTCAGCTCCCAGAAGGCTAGCCCCTTTTCGCCCTAAGTATGACTCTAATGTAGGGGCCTTAATCATTAGGATAAGGTCCTGGGCTACTATACAATAATTGTTTTAAGGAGCCCCCCCAAACCCTATTCTAATTGTTAAAGCCTGTATATTAAGGGCGGTTTGAAACAGCATCCTGAACTCGACGAGGAGTCGCAGGCAGGGTTTATAGGGTTAGGGGCTTGAGCACTTGGCTGGTTCTTGAAGCGTTCCATAGATGTTGTAGAGTTGCATTTTTTGTTCAGAGTGTTTCGAGTTTGCGGATTTGGCAATGGAAGTCTTGGGGTTTTAGTGTTTAGGGTGACGGTATTGCGGCTCTGTTGTTTAATTGCTTGTTGGTGCTTTTTCCCCTTGTTTCCGGGCTTCTGCAGGGTTTGGTGATGGTATCGTCGAGCCTGTCCTCGGTGTTAGGACGTGTTGCAGACCCTGAACCTCCAATGCCTATTATTAGTGGGGTCCCTAAACCCTAAACCCACAACCCTAAGCCCTAAACCCTGTCAGCCCTGAACTTTCGGGGTCATCCCTAAACCCGAAAGCTTAAACCCTAACATTCGGGGCACAGGCAACCCCAAACTCTACTCCCAGAGCCAAGTCCATGAACCTGCAGCAAAGCGTCTACTACGCAGCTTTGAATAGTTAGCAGCCTGGCCCTCTGTATGCCCCCCCAAACCCCTAACTCCCAAACCCGAAGCCCTATATTAGCCGCCCTATGTTAGCTGGGACCCGGCTCTGATACCACATGTCAGGCACATCATGTCACAGGTTTATCAAAGAAATGGGATGAAGCTAAGTAGAATGCCGGAGCTAAACCTGTAACCCTCAACTCGAAGCCCGCAGCCCTAAGCCATGAAGCCAAAACCCAAAACCTTAAACTAAACCCTCAACACTTACTGTAGCCTCCCTTCATCCCACTTCTGAAGCCTTTTCAGTCGGTCAAGGGTATTGTGGACGGCTGCTTCATAAACCTCCTCCCCTTTTCGTGGGATTACATTACAGGGGCCTCAATAATAACCAAGACTATTTTTTGGGGGGTTCCTTATTGCAACTATAGTATGATGGGCCTCGAAACCCTACTCTACTATTAAGGCCCCTATATTAGCGACCCTGATATTAGGGCCCTGAAAGCAAAGGAGCTTATGAATCAGGGATCCACGGTAGCAGGAATATCTCTTTCTCTCAAACCAGTCCGGTTCCGATAGGGGATGAATTCTCTAAGCCCTTAGCCCTGAACCTCGAGCCCTAGCCTGAACCCAAGTTAAATTCGTAACTCCTAAGCCCTACAGCTTAAACCGTAGCCAGGAGCTCTACGTCGTCTCGAAGAGTCAGCGTCGGCTCTCCTTGGTGAGCCGGGCCCTGCCAGACGGCCCTTTACTCGAAGTGCCTGCATTCAAGGACCTCTCCCCTCGTGCCCAAAAGCCCAGATGTACAGACGAGAGGTCCCCGAAGAAGAGTTTCGGCCAAAGCCTTTCCCAAGGAGCGACGGAGCCTTCTAAGGAGGCTTCTGGGTATCCGGGAGGGGCACTACCGCCGTGGCTGCGGCCCACCCGCAGGGCGGCACGAGCTACTTAGGGGCTTAGGTTGAGGTTTGAGGTTGAAACTGCAGTCGTGGAGGGAGCCCTCAAGCAGCAGTACTTTACAACGGGCCTCAAATTCAAAGGTCCTAGCTATTGGACGTCATAACCAGGCGCTAGATGAAGGAAGGTTCCTAGGGAGATACGATCTCTGGGCTTAGCAGTTGTTCAACTCTGAGTTCTTACCTCAAGGGTTTATGATTTTGGGTGTCGGGTTGAGGGTGTTCTCCCTGCTGCCAGGTGGCCCAATAATCCTTCAGCAACAGCAATGAAGCTAGGGCAAAAGACGTTGTGACGCTAAGTGGGTTTGGCACACGGGCCTTGACTAGATTGGGGTTTTGGGGTGTCCCATTGCTCACGGACGACATCCGGAAGCAGCCCTCAGTACCCTGAAGATTCAACCCTGAGCCGCAAACTACCCTAAGTGAACCCTAAACCCACCCTATAGCAGCCTGTAGCACCTTGGTAGCACCCTATATGTAAACCCTGTCGAGCTGTTAGAAAGCCTATAAAGGGTGTATCGGCAGTCTGCCGCACCCTCAACCTTAAACCGAAACCTCGAGGACCAGAACACTGAGAAAGCTGTACAGTTCGTCTCGTTCGGAACGCAGAAGCTGGCCCCACCGCAAATGATCAGGGGTTTGGTTTTCTGGGGTTTGGGGGTTGAATTGAGA